GTATTTTGCTTTTTTGACTTCCAAGAAATTAAGGAATCTCCTAGTTTAACACAGAAACCAGTAACTGATCTCCTTGTCATCAAACAAGCTGCCCAGTCAGTATCACAAAAGGCTATTACATGACATTGTCCTACAGAGGACAACAAAATTCCTTGACCATGATTCTTTTTTATATACTTAACCACTCGAAGGGCAACTTCCAAGTGTGATCTTTTTGGTTGTTGCATAAACTGACTCAAATGATGTACCACAAAAGTAATATCTAGTCTTGTATGAGTGAGATAGATCAACCTTCCTATCAATCTCTGGAAAACTTCTTTTTCACCCTGTAACACTCCATCATCTAACTTCTCTTTACCATTTACAATCAAACCAGAATCATAACCAGTAGAAGTAAGCTTTACATTCTGTTCCATAGGAGTACAAACAGGTTTAGCACCTCCTAATCCTATTTCTTATATAAACTCTAGTGCATACTTCCTTTGGTTCAATAGAATTCCTTCACTAGATCTAAGTATCTCAAAACCAAGAAAATACTTAAGTTCCCCTAGATCCTTCATTCTGAAACTAGCATGCAAGATTACTTTCAACTCTTCTATCATGGTAGCATTATTTCCAGTAATCAATAGATCATCAACATATATAACCATGACCACTATATTTGTTCCTTCTCTCTTTGTAAAAAACGAGTAATCGAACTTACTTTGAATATATCCTGCAGCAACCAAGGCTTCAGTCAACCTCATGTTCCACTGCCTAGATGCTTGTTTAAGGCCATAAATAGACTTCTGCAACCTACACACCATGTTCTCCCCCTGGCTGCAGAATCCTTGAGGCAGCTGCATGTAGACCTCCTCAAGAAAATTTCCTTGAAGAAACGCATTATGTACATCTATTTGAAACAGAGACCAACATTGCAAAGAGGCAAGTTCCAAAACAGTTTGTACTGTGACAAGCTTAGCAACAGGTGAGAAGGTTTCAACAAAATCCACACCTTCACGCTGATTGTACCCCTTCGCAACCAAACGTGCCTTGTAACGTTCAATCTCACCATTAGATCGAAACTTGACCTTATACACCCACTTGCATCCAATGGGAACCTTACTTGGTGGAACAGGAACTACACACCAAGTATTGTTTAATTCTAATGTTTGAATCTCCTCTTGCATGGCAGTGACCCATAAAGGATCTTTAATGGCATCACTATAACTAGTAGGCTCAATAATAGAAGTGGAAGAAAGGAAAGATTGAGTGTGAAATGGAAGATGAGAATAAGAAATATGATTTGAAATGGGATAATAGCTAGAGGTGGATGATTGGCAAGAAACATACTCATTTAACCACAATGGAGGCTTGGATACTCTAGAAGACCTCCTAACAACCAGATCAATAGGAACATTAGAAGAACGAGAAGTAACAGATGTAGGAGACACTTGATCACCAACACTAGGACTAGATTGAGATTGCTGACAAATTGGAAGGATTATTATGAGTTGACACATCTTACATAGACAAGTCAGTGACAAAAAACTTTGAATCAGGTATAACAGGTTGAGAAGGAAATAACCTAGACGACAATTCAGGTGAATGAAAAAGAAAAGAATGCTCATGAAACCTAACATCCCTACTAACAAAAAAAAGTCTTAGAAACAAGACTAAACATCAAATAACCCTTTTGAGTATCTGAGTATCCCATAAAAACCGAAGGAATAGCTCTAGGGAAAAACTTATCACGAGGCTTAGTTTGAGAAGAATAACCCAAGCAACCAAAGACCTTTAAATGTAACAAAGAATGAGGCTCATGATGAAACATTTCATATGGAGATTTTCAATTAAGAACAGTAGAAGGAAGCCTATTAATTAAGTAACAAGCAGCTAAGACACACTCTCCCCAAAACTTAATAGGCACCCGAGAATGAAAACGAAGTGCACGAGCTACTTATAATAAATATTTATGCTTCCTTTCAGCTACCCCATTTTGCTGAGGAGTATCGACACAAGAGGACTGATGAACAACCTTAAAAGAAGAGAAAAGAGAAGAACAGTCTTTGCTGAAAAATTCAGACCCATTATCACTATGAATGGTTTTTATAGAAGCCTCAAATTGATTAAGGACCAAAGAAAAAAAATTCCTTAAAGAGACAATAGCATCTGACTTTAGTTTCAGTAAATAGACCCATGTCATTCTTGTACAATCATAAAAAATTGTCAGAAAAAACCTATGACCACTATGAGTAGAAATTCTATATGGACCCCATAAGTCCATATGAATCAGATGAAAATGGAGACTAGACCGAGACTGACTAATTGAGAAAGGCAACCTAGCTCGTTTGGCTGAAGGACAAACCGAGCAAGAATGAATTATAGAGGAATCCAATTTACAGTCACTCAATGACATATGATGCAATTTGAGAAAATAAGCATGACCTAATCGAACATGCCAAATGGAAGTTTTATTATTAACAGAAAACATACAATGAGTTTTAACATTGAAAGGCACCTTAGAAGAAATACTAAGAAAAGAACTAAAAGACTGAAGAATAGACAAGCCCCCTTGTTTCTTACCAATCCCTGCATCTTGCCATTGAAGAGATCCTGAAAGACACAAAAATCAGGATAAAATTGAACAACACAATTTAAGTCAATTGTCAGTTTGGAAACAGATAACAAATTGTGAGTGAAGGAAGGGACATATAGTACATTTTGTAAACAATGAGAAGAATCAAACCAATAGGAACCAATATGTGTTATAGGGAGGGTTTTACCATTCGAAAGATGAACAAATCGTGAGGTACATGCAACAGGATTACTCAAGCATTCAAAACTAGAAAACATATGGTCAGTAGCTCCAGTGTCAAGAATCCAGGTAATTGAATTACTTTTAGAAGCAGGTAAACCACCATGAATCAAACCTGCAAAGTTGGCAGCAGCAACATCACCAGAATCGTGAACATCTTTGTTGATGAGTTCCAGCAAACAATTATACTGGTCCGTGGTAAACATCAACACTGGCGCCAAAGGAGCAGTCAAAGGGGAAGACTCATAATGAGTATCATTCTGATCAGGGTTAGCCACCATGGCAGAAGAAGACTTTTTTGCCTTTGTGAACTTGAACTCAGAAGTGAAGCCATTGAGCCTATAACACTGTTCACGTTTATGGCCACGAATCTTAAAAAATTCACAGACTCCATTAAACCTTCCACGACGAGGATTAGAGGAACTGGAGTACATCGTCGTCACATCAGAAAGTGGTGAAACACCTGAAGACAGATATCCCTATGACTCCTCCTGAACCACCATCGAATACACCCGATTAACCGAATGGAGCGGATCCAAAAGAAGAATCTGGCTCCAAATCACAGAATACGTCTCATTCAGTCCCATTAAAAACTGAAATAATCGTTGTTGAAGAACATGATTCAAGGCTTGCGAAGAATCAACGCAGTTACATGAAGATACAGGAACTAATGCACTGTACTCATCCCAAAGCAACTTCAGACGCGAATAATAGGTGGAAACCGATGAATCACCTTGAGTAAAGAGAGCAATCTCTCGATGTAAGAAGAAGATTCGTGATCCATCAACCTTGCTGAAGCGTTCCTTCAAATCTTTCCAAAAAAGTGCAGCAGTGGAAGAGAACACTAATCCCGCAGAGAGGTCAGCACTTACAGTGGTCAAAATCCACGAAAGAACGATTGCGTTACACCGATCCCACTGCGATTGCAAGAGTTCAGTGAAATCATCATGAGTATAATCATCGTCGATGAACCCTAATTTATTCTTTGCTAGCAACGCGATTCGAATCGAGCGGCTCCAGAGATTGTAATTCTCAATTCCCGTCAGCTGATGCGAAACCAGTACAGTCCCAGGCGCATCCGACGGATGAAGGTAGAGAGGATGCGTGAAATCGATCGATTCCATGGAAACGGAGAGAAAAAGGAAAGTGAATCAGTGAAGAAAGAGGGAAAATCAGAAAGGTCGAGCCCCCACACGAGACCTTTCCTCTGATACCATGTAAAAACACGTGTGAAAAATACCTCAATCCCTCTTATTATTAACTATTTCAGTACACTATATTTATATACAATTCAATTACATCAGCTAACATACTAACTAACTTCTAACCAACTGCTAACTAATTAAAAAACTTGCTAACTAACTCTCAACTTCACAACAGACTCTCCAAATTCCGCTCTTCTCTCAACTCATGGCAACGCTTTATGAGAGTGTTTCTAAAGCAAACAATTGATTTGGGATGTCTCTAGATGAATAAAATTGCTCACTATTTATAGGCTAAATAGTGAGGGTAAAATCGTCATTTTCAAAGCACAATTTAATTTTATTAAACAAAGAATTAAAAGGCATTTAGCAATATGTTACAATTTGGGCATTACCAACAGGCCTTGGGCATGGTCGATGCCCTCATTGCCACACTGACATTGAAACAACGTTGCATGTTGTACGTGACTAGTTTTTCCCAGGAGATGATACACAGTGCTAGTGTTTCAGGTTCGATTGCTTTGTCTTTATGTCCATCTCCATTATTAAGGTTAGAATCGGCAAATACTCGGTTGGGTTCGAATGACTTTGCAGGATTTCTTGTACTATTGTGAAATATTTGGAATGCTCGAAACTCATTAGTCCATGATGGGAGATTGCAGCCACCTTGGCTGCTAGTCGCAAACGCCCAGGCACTTCATTGGGATTTTATTGTCGATCGCTCAATCATTAACCAGGTACAATGATAGTGTAGTCCTGACCGTTGGCTGCCTTCATTCCACTATGCTAGAAGGGTTTTGATTATTTGGTTCATTTATTGGTATAATATAGTGTCTAGTTATTGGAGAATTCGTAAGGAAACCAGCTTCTTTTTTCATAATATCAGATGGATTTGGATTGCAGTATCTTTTCATGCAACCAAAGCAGAGATACCTGCTTATTGGAGAGGTTAAAAAAAATCTATATGCTAAAAAAACTTAATTGCATTACTTATTCAGTCTAAAAAGATAGATGTATATAACTGTTTATTCCTGACTAAAAAGAGGAATCATATACAATGCATGCAAAACTGTTTAATACTAGTCTTCAAGCAAAAACATAAATACCAACTTTTGGACAGAGTTACTGATAAAGCTTCTTTACTGTCGGTTCCAAATTGTTGTTGAGTTTGTTCGACTTTCAGACAGTCGGCGATAAAGCTTCTTCACTGCCGGTTGATTGTGTATTTGAATCGTTGTCGAGCTTCCTGAAGATCAGCTTTTGCTGGGGGAGTTGGCTGTTTGCGAACGTGGTTAGCTCAGTGTCTACTAAGATTGTGTCCTCATCTTTGAACTCGCCTCGCAATATGCCCTTGGCGAGTTCGTTCTCGACTTTCTGTTGAATCACTCTCTTGACTGGTCTAGCACCGTAGTTCGGATCGTAACCCAGATTTCCAAGAAGCTGAACAGCACTTTCTGTCACCTGAAGTTTTATTTTCCTATCTGCAATTCTTACTTGCACACGTTCCAACTGTAAACAGAGAAAAAAAAAGGTGGATAAGCACAGAGAAACGACATGATCGTCTTGAGGGTGTATAAAGAACCGAGGCACTTACCTGTAATTTCACGATACTGTTTATTTGTTCGCGGTCCAAAGGCTGGAACACTATATACTCATCAACACGATTCATGAACTCAGGTCGAAATATTGCTCTTGCAGCCTCCATCACCCTCGACTTAATAGTTTCATAAGCTAGGTCTTTCGATGTGTCTTCGTCTGAGTTCAGAATGTACTGTGAACCCACATTCGAAGTCATAATGATGACAGTATTGGTAAAGCTCACAGTACGACCCTGTGAATCGGTGACTCTTCCATCATCCAAAATTTGAAGGAAAACATTGAAAACATCACCGTGAGCTTTCTCGATCTCGTCAAAAAGAATCACAGCATATGGCCTCCGACGAACTGTCTCCGTCAACTGCCCTCCTTCTTCATAACCCACATAACCTGGCGGAGCACCTATAAGTCTCGAAACTGCATGTTTTTCCATATACTCACTCATATCGATGCGAACAAGTGCTTCTTCCGTATTAAACAAGTAGGATGCAAGGGCCTTAGCAAGTTCAGTTTTCCCTACACCAGAGGGACCCATAAACATGAAACTTGCAATTGGACGACGGGGATCCGAGAGACCAGCTCGAGATCGTTGAATGGCCTCAGCTACGGATCTAACAGCAGGATCTTGACCCACTACACGTTTATGCAACACTTCCTCCAAATATAATAGTTTCTCCCTCTCGGATTGTTGAAGTTTGGAAACAGGTATGCCAGTCCATTTACTAACTACTTCGGCGATATCATTTCCAGTAACTTCTTCTCTCAGCATTGATTTTCCGGATTTCATATATTCATCTAATTCTTTTTCGGCATCAGCAAGTTGACGCTGCAAAGAGTTCAAACTCCCGTACTTCAGCTCAGCAGCACGATTGAGATCATACTCACGCTCGGCCTGCAGGATCTCTACATTCACCCTATCAATCTGTATAAGTAAATCAGTTAGTTGACTACCTTGATTTGTATTCATCCATAAAAGGGAAATGCTAGAAGATGACCTCAACCTCACAGATGACAAAAAGCAAAATGTATGGTGGCAGCACAATAAAGCTTTTAAAGAGATTTTTACAGAAAATTTGCATACCTCTTCTTTGATAGACTGAATGTTTGTCATCACGGTCTTCTCGTGCTCCCACTGTTCAGTCAGCTCGGACTGTTTCTCCTTTAAAAGTGACAACTCAGCTTCAAGGCGGCTCAGTCTATCTCTTGATGCTTTGTCAGTATCATTTGTGAGAGACAGCCTCTCCATCTCCAGCTTCAGTACTGAACGATTGATCTCATCAAGGGCAGTTGGTTTCGAAGTGATTTCCATTTTCAATTTAGCAGCTGCTTCATCAACTAGATCAATAGCTGCAATTTGGAACCATATATTAGTACGCAAATACGAGCATCACCAACTTGACAATATCTGTTTTTTATATTTGTGCATATGCTACCTTTGTCAGGTAAAAATCGGCCACTGATATAACGGTCAGACAAGATTGCAGCTTCCACAAGTGCACTGTCGGAAATACGAACTCCATGATGCAGCTCATATCTCTCACGAAGACCCCGGAGAATAGAGATTGTATCTTCTACCGTTGGCTGATCAACATAAACCTGCTGGAAACGACGCTCCAGGGCAGGATCTTTCTCGATGTATTTACGATATTCATCCAGTGTAGTTGCCCCAATGCATCGTAGTTCTCCTCGACCAAGCATAGGCTTCAGCAGATTGCCTGCGTCCATTGCACCATTGGTGGCACCTGAAATAGAAAGACCATTTCCACAAAACACAAAACAAGTATTATTAGCCTATCAGGGGAGAAACACATAATTTCCATGAACAATTATCTCAAATCTGATGGAAGGGCACAACATCTCACAAACCGATATAACCCATAAACCCGAACAGAAAAAAACAATAAGGTTTTCACAATTCAGCCAACTTTATTGATATTGCAAAATCAACCTATAAACCTAGAAACTCATAGAAAACCTCACCAGCCCCCACAACAGTGTGAATCTCATCTATGAAGAGGATAATTTGGCCCTCAGATTCTGTTACTTCCCGAAGTACAGCCTTCAGTCTATCCTCAAACTCTCCTCGATATTTAGCCCCAGCTATGAGCGAACCCATGTCGAGTGAGATAAGCTGTAGAGAGAAAACGGTTTATAAGCATCTGCAACAATGTGATTCCAACAACCCACCCATCCTTCAAAAATAAATATTGATATTCATCTTTTTTCCTGAGAAAAGAATCAGGAAAATGCTAGTTAACTTCACCTTACGGTCCATCAAAGCCTGAGGGACATCACCCTGCACAATTCTTTGGGCAAGCCTGTAAAAAGACACAGTAGAAATTAAGTTAATACTAATTTGACAATGCTAGTTTCAACAAATTGACTTCATCATGGCAACCAAAGACTGAATGCACATATATGCTACATTGCTCTGAATCTTCATTTAGTTTTAAGTACCCATATTTGACACCCATGTCCTTGACTTATCTAGACATAGGTATGAGGATGTGATCTCCAAAGACTCTCCAAATACATAAAAAATATCAAGAGAAAAAATTGAACCTATTCATGTTGGACAGATATCTTAAGTTTGACCCTCACACTCAAGAAGAGCTGGACACATAAATTAGCCTACCTGCATCAGAATAGCTGGCCTACTTAATGTAAATGGGCTTTAACGTAAAGAAAATCATTACTTAAAATCAAGATCTTGGTTCATTGCAGGGTTATTTACAACCATGCATGAAACTGACCTAAGCACTTACCCTTCAGAAATTGCAGTTTTCCCAACACCCGGTTCACCAATTAGCACAGGATTGTTCTTTGTTCTCCTAGAAAGGATCTGGATGCACCTGCGTATTTCATCATCTCTTCCAATCACTGGGTCAAGCTTTCCTTCTCTTGCCATTGCTGTCAAATCTTTCCCATACTTCTCCAGTGCTTCATACTTTCCTTCGGGATCTATATTCAAAGTCACCGTGTCAGGAAAACAGTGCAGTGAACCGAAAATATGCCACTAAACCCCGAATAATACTAAGCAGCCAAATAGAGTAAAGCCTCAAGAAGCAATGTTATGACATGAAAATTGAATCAGTCCCTAATCCGCGAAAAGACACCAATACATGAGGATAAACTAAAAGGTAATACAAGTCATGTATGAGGGGAAAATCCAGTTACCTTGGTCGGTAACAGTACATAAAGTAAAGGAAAATCCAGTTACCTTGGTCGGTAACTGACTGACGTCCCCTAATGGATTCTATTGCAGATTTCAAGGCTTGGGTGGATATCTGGAAATCTTTGAACAACTGCTTCCCAAAACGCCGATCTTGTGCAAATCCAAGAACCAAATGCTCGACAGAAACAAATGAATCCCCATACTCCTTCTTGTATTCTCGTGCTCGCTGCATCAGAGCCTCCAAATCACGTCCTAGCATTGAACCAGCGGATTCACCCAAAACCTAGTAGAGCAGAGAGGAGATATTATCAAGAAACATCACTACCTAATCTGGAGATGAAACGTAGTTAACATGATCAAGCATTAACTATGAAAACAGTGAGACAAAAGAGGCAAGCATTGCAGTAAAGTTCAAGCGAATAAAATCAACGGTTAATGTTTCGTACAAACATCAAATGAAAATAGATTAGAATGTGAGAGGAATTACCTTCGCCTGGCGTTGGATGAACTTATCAGTCGCTTCTAGAAGGCGAGTATTGTCAACTCCAGCTTTCAAAAATATCCGCCGAGCAAGACCATTTTTCTGCTCCAGGAGAGCCTTCATCAAGTGTTCGGTCTCCACTATCTGATGTTTGTTCTCTTTAGCCACATCCGGAGAAGCAACAACGGCTTGCCAGGCCATTTCTGTGAACTCTTGTTGTGTAATCTGTCATAAAATCGCAATCCCAACCCAACAAAAAAAAAATCACAAATAAATTTGGATAGAAGAGCAAGCTGCTTCACACTATGACACAGTTCTGATACCTCATTTGTCCAACACATGTATCAGAAACATGGTTACGGCAATACGGGATATGATTCTCCCAGAACTCTCAAAATACATGAAAATAGCATATCCTTATCGAATCGGAGACATACAATTACTCATATCAAACACTTGACACAGTCCAAATAACCACGAAAACAGATTATCAATATAAAATACAAAGAAAATACTTAAAATTACAGGAGAATAATTCTCAGGGCGACGGTCCCGACCGCCGCCTCGGTCCATCCTGCGAATAACATTTGCTTCATCGTATAATACAAAGACAAAAGTTTTAAATGCAACGTGAAGTACAAAATAAAAAAATTAAGCAGAAATACTGGCTTAAACCAAAACTAAATAGAATTTCAAGCAATTGAGAAGCAGACAACATTAGCACTGAACAGATGAAAATCACCAAAGAAACAACTCCAAACAATACAGATATCAACCAAAGAAAATTCGTTAAAATAAATAATTCTTCTTATTGTTCAGGATTGGCTAACAAATTAATAAAATTACTACCAGAGAAGAAATATATTTAGCCGATGAATCGAAAACAATGAAATAAATAGTGGGGTGTTTATATTTTCATTGCTTAACGAGCTTACCCTTCCCGTTGAAGCTTCGCAACGAACAATGGAAGTCCTTGAAGAAGTCCTTGAAAACCTCTCGAAAACCCCATTTTTCCTTAACTGAAGCGGTGAAAAGGATTTCAAGGAATTGGGTTTCGAAGAAATGTTCAAAGAGAGGCGTGGGTGAGTTAAAAAGAGATTGTTTCTGTTTGTAGCACATAAACTGACACCACTAATGGACGCCATTGAAGTAGAAGAAGTCGCCATTTTTTGGACTAATTTTAAGTTGAGAAAGATGGGAATGACTGAATTGAATTTACCAAAAAAATGGATGGTTTTGAGTGTAAATATAGAAGGAAAAAGAATGATCTGAAAAACAAAGTGAAAAGGTCTCTTCTTCTAGTTGATACCTCTCGTCGATTCTCGAAATCCCTCGTTTTCTTTGGTTGTTTTCCCCCAGCGATTTATGTTGTTCTGAGATGTCGTTTTGATGAAAGAACGAAACTTTTATTTTATTTATTATTTTAAGTGGGAAGAATATCGGCAATCCCTTATGCTCTTACACGTGGCTAATATTTTGTGGATATGATGGGAAAACCATTTTTTTCATTTCTTCCCTATATTTTTTCCGATATATCACCTATATCCTATATATTTTTCTGTCAGACATCATTCAGACTATAATTTTTTATTTAATACCCTTTGCAGTAAGGCGCGTCCCTGCAACGTGTTTTACGCTGATCTGGTGTAACGTGGGGTAAGGCGCGCCCCCTGAAGCGCGTTTTATGCTGAGTTGGATACACGTGCCTAAAGCGCGATCCCTGGGGCGCCCCTTATGCCACGTAGGGATATAGCGCGGGGCAGGGGCTGCGCTTTTCAATTATCACATGCTCAATTATAAGACATGCATAATGCAAGGCGTAGTGCACGGACCGCGCCTTGCATAATTTACTCGAACTTATCGACTATAAAACATCCTCTCTCGGCTATAAATAGCTCTCTCCCCTTAAATCTCTCACAATTCCCTCTCAACCGAAAAATTAATACAACAATCCTTTCAACCAATAAATAACACTCGACAATCCTCTTATATTTAATTCAGAAGTTCGTTCGATCTTTCGTTATAAGGTAATTTTGTTATAATATTTTTTTATTATACTTAATGTTTATTATGATTATTTAAAAAAATATTATAGTAATTGTTTTCAATTAATTTATGTGTCAATTCAAGGGGAAAGCGGGAGTATACGTCGAAATATTTTTGCGGTGCAGGTAATAATATAAAATTATATTATTTAAATTATTTATGTTTATGTGTAAAAAATTTATTGTGTTATATTTTCATTCATATATTATTTATTTAATCAGGTTTATTTCAGTTATTTTTTTACAGATATAATATTGTCACACTTTTAAACTCTAAGAATGGCGCGACTTTCAGCTATTGTTTATTATGATGGAGAAATTCGAGAAGATGAAACCGGTGTTGTTTTCGTATCAAATGAGCGTGTTAAAATATCATTCAAGATAAACATAACTCTTGAGGAGCTGATAATGAAGATTTCGAGGAAGGTTCATGTTAGAAGTAGTAGAAGAATGTTGTCGTTGCAGTACAGATTTCCAACATTATTGTTGTCATTAACTTATACAGCGTTCGAACTATCGAACAATGATGATGTTGAAATGATGGTTGATTCTCAAAGTAATTATTCAGACGGTAATATTGAGATGTATGCAAAGTTTGTTCAATTGCGTGTTGTTCGGGGTCAGTCATTAAGATCCTACCATGGGCTGGCTGAACAAGTTGATCAAGTTGACAGCCCGACTATAGTAATGTGTAATAATTTTAATGTCATAATGGGAAATCCGCATCATGGTGTCGTCACATCAATTTCAATGGGGAGACATTCATCCGCAACTCCTTACGATATGAACCGAGGTGGGTCCACGAACAATCCATATGGCAACATCGCGTCCAGTTCAAGGGGAAGACATTCATCTGCAAATTTCTTTGACCTTAATATGGAGATGACATCGAGGCAACAATCTGTGCAGTTTTCATTTGACACGATGACTTCAAGCTCTATGGGAGGCATTCAACTACGAGCTTTTTCGATCTCAATGTTTATATGTCTTATAGTTCAAGGGGAAGACGTGCAAGTAGTAGGTTCTTTGACCTAAATGTGGAGAGTATGGAGGAACCATCATCTCCACCAGAAGAACCGCTTCGTGAGCCTAGTGCGAACGGTGCTGAGATTAGACTATTCATTCACCCAGGATCACCACAATTCAACTCCGATGATGAAGATAATGTAGATGAAGTTCCATCAAATGTGGCACAAATTGACTCTCCAGCACACATGTATGAAGCTGATTATGGTGCAATGTACGGGCCATAATTTACGGATATGCTTCATCTCAGTAACTATAGATATTACTCATCAATAAATAATTATGAGTTATCTTTAGGCATGGAGTTTTCATGGCTATAAAAAAATTACAATATTCGTAATTTTGTTCAATCGAGAGTCGACCGCTCCATGATAGAAAAATATGTATGCTATTGTGCCCGACATGAAAACAGATGCAATTGAATGGTTCGCGTATCGAAGAGGAAGAGGAAAATCAACAGATGAGAACTAACAGTATACAACGGTCCTCACACATGTTGTGCTTGAGGGGTCAACCAAGATCATCCCAACTTGGACTCTGAAGTGATATGCCAAGCCATCATGCCCATGGTAAAAGCAAGCTCTCATATAGTTGTTGATGTGTTAATTTTAGCTATACAATCACAGTATGGGTACACTGTCTACTATAAAAAATATTGGTTGGCAAAACAAAATGATATTGTCAAACTTCATGGAGAATGGGATGCATCTTACAACGAACTTCCAGGCTGGTTTAGGCTGGTGTGGAGGTTGAATCCTGGGATAATTGTGGACTTCGAAACCTTCTATCCATACCATAATGATCGAGTTCTTCGCGATCGATTCCAATTCTACCGGGTTTTTTTTGACTTACCCACAGTGCGTTAATGCTGTCAAATATTGAAAGCATGTGGTCCAGATCGATGGGACTTTCTTGTATGGAAAATACAAGCAATTTTTATTATTGGCAGTTGTCCAAGATGGCAATCGCAACATTCTTCCAGTTGCTTTTGCTCTTGTTGAAGGAGAAGATAGAGATTCTTGGACTTTTTTCCTCCGAAACTTACATGCACATGTTATCACGAGGGAAAAAATATGTGTCATTTCAGACCGCAGAGCTGGAATCAAAGCAGCAATGGAGTCTTTGGGTCCAATGTGGCAACCACCCTTTGTCCAACATCGGTATTGTCTCCGACACATTGCTGCGAACTACCATGGAAGGTACAAGAAGAATTATGAGCGTCAATTAATTGTGAGCATGGGTAGGTGAAACTGATGTAGTTTGTTTTCTTTTGATCATTTTAATTTTGCAAAGAAAACAAGTTAGTAAGTTATACATTTTTTGATTAGGTTACGAACTACTTCCTCAAATGCTTGAATCAATGCTTAAAGATTTACACACGAAAAACGAGGAAGGATACGATAATATCAGCCTCATCGATAAAGAAATGTGGATGAACGATATGATGGTGGATATCGATATGGACACATGACGACCAACTTGGCTGAGGCAATCAATTCAACCTTAAAGGGTGCATGTCACTTACTTGTAGCAGCTTTGGTAAAAACTACATATTTTTGTTTGGGGGCGCTTTTTGCGAAGCTCGGGGGACAAGCTCAAACCTAGATGCAAGGCGGTCATGTCTATCACCCTAGACTAGTTGCAGATCTACAAAAAAAATTGTTGTATCAAATGGTATGTCTGTAACAAACTTCTCTAGAAGACATGAAATGTTTCGTGTCACAGAGTTATCGCGACCTCTTCAAGGGATTGAAGTTGTGTCGTTAAGAGTAAATCTAAGGGACAGAATATGCGACTGCAGGTTTTTTCAAGCTCTGAAGTATCCATGCTCTCATGTGATAGCAACTTGCTCGCATACACGTCAAGATTATAATTATTTTGTGGATCTCGTATACCTACTATCTGAAGTTTTTAAGGTATACAAATTTGAGTTCCCCCCATATGTAATGACAAAGACCCGATGAGGTTCAGGATTGGCTTCCGATTGTACAAAATCTGACTTTATTGAGGGAGCATGGTCATCCAAAATCCAATCGGATTCATTGTGATATGGATATTCGAGAAAGATCTAGAAAAGACAGAAAACGTGGGCATTGTAGAAACCCATGACACACTAGAAAAACATGTTCACTTATGTTGTCATCAAGTAACAATTGATGAATAACTGATGTAGTTGTTATCAAATAATAGTTCTTGTACTTTAATTTGCATTTACTACAAGTTAATGTCATTCGATAACCGCTGATGAAGATTAAAAAAATGATAAAAGAATACGAGATTGGACGTTGGCGTTATATGTGATTATAATAAAAGAGATAATAAGTGACAAACTGAAGAAAGTTATCTAATACAATTATTAAATTTTATCAAACTAATAACAATTTGGTATTTGAATATAATTTTAAATACAACAAACTTACAATAAGTATTAAATGGTAAATGATAACCAAATTACAATAACTGATATTAAATGGTAATAAACAAAATTAACCAAAATACATTAACAAAAAGTCCAACAAATTTAACAAAAAAAATTAAAATAAATCCAACCAAATTAATGAAATAAAGTAAGTATTAAATGATAAATAATAAAAAATTACAATAAAAAATTCAATAAACAACTAAATACAAATATAAAAAAATCTATCGATGTATGCGACGCGAATATGTTCCGCAGGGCGGTGGTTGTCGGTCTCGAGGAGGATTTCTTCGTATCACTGGTTGTGACTCCTCGCTGTCATCATCATCACCATCATCATCATCGTCTTCGTCGTCGTCGTCATCCTGAGCAGCTGTATTAGGTTGATGAGGAGCTGATGACGATGAAGCACCTCCATAAAATAAGGACCCTAGAGATGTATGACTGACTATCCCACTGGCCTATGAAAACTGGGAAAACTCATAAAACCCAGACATCGTTGAGTGTGAAAACTGTACAGGAGGTGTCTGTGCTGCGACCATGGGTGATGAGGCTGAACCCGCCAAAATATGGGCATATAAACCCCAAGTCGGATATGCAAATATAGACCCATAATATCCTTCAGGATGGGTCATATAACTCTGTGAAGGCGGTGGCGGGGTCATAAAACCAGGTGACGGTGGCGGCATCACATATGACTGTGGTATGTAAGTCGCTGTAGATGGTGGCTGCTGTGAAGGTCTTGCTGGTGCAGCTGAGGATGAACCGGAAGCACCTGCTCTCCGTCCACGAGTTGAGGGACGATGGTGTTGTGTCGGTGAACATCTCTATCGACGTCGCTGAAAGGTCTGCCCTCGTGCAT